GAGCAGGTAGTCTGTACCCTGGGCCGATTTTACAGCTGAGAGGAGATTTGTCACCTGTCGGCACTTTCCAATCCCAGCAGGCTTTTCACCATCGCCTAGCCGGGGGCTGTGTCATGGGTCAGGCCACGCTGACGCATTGGGGCAGTTACTCCTCTTCAACTACATTTAAAAAAGCTCCACTTTGCCTGAGGCTGGGGAGAAATGCAGAGGCGGGACCCAGGCTGGCATTCATATCTTGGGGGTTTCTCATCAATATATTTTATCCTGGGTTTTTTTGCATCCAGCTGCCATAATGTGTATTTGACTAGGCCGGGAAGCCAGAGAGCCTTGTAATAACAGTGCTTAGCATGGGAAGCGGTGCCTGGCACAAGGGGACTTGTGAGACCTGCACTGTGCATATTGCTCACGCTGTCTGGTAAGAGAGCGGCTTATTGCAGGAGGAAACGGAATGGGCGGGGCTGCAGGAAGGAGCCTCAGACACTTTGCCTCATCACCCCTAATCCCCAAGGCTGGAACAGGGGTAGTAAGTGGGGAGGCTTCCCCCCACCTACAGCACGGGGCAGAAATGCTGTGGGGGAGCACGCTGCCTCCTCCAGGCTATTCCTGGGGAGGGGGCCCCACTGAAAGCAGGGTTGGGTCTCTGCTCAGACCAGGGCAGCCCCATCAGCACGTCCCAAGGGCAGGGCATGGGAAGTGGGTGCAGCGAGCGTTAAGCCTCCGTGCTCCTTCCATGCTGCTAGTGGCCTGGCCCGGCCTTCTTCACGCAGTGCCTTAAACCCGGCTGGGCCTGGCGGGTGGGGGGAGGCCGGCCCAGCACTCTAGGTAGGGAGAGCAGCCTGACTTGGGTGCAGACCTGCTGGGGAGCAGAGCCTGGCTCTGTCTGGCCGAGGGAGGGGTGTTAGCCAGCTGGGGTGAGCTTTAGGGCTGTCAGGGATGCTGCAGGGTTAGTGGCTTGGCTCACTTGCCCTCCCGGGGAGAGCTCTGCACCCCCCAGCTGGTTCGGGGTGGACTCTGCAGCAGGGGCCCCGAGGGAACGGCTGTCTATAGCATACGCTGTATTAGAGCCTCATGCCGTCATAAGCTGTACTATAGCCTAAAGCCGAAGCCAGGGGAGGGGCGCGGCGCAGTCAGCCCCCAGCACCAAAGAACACTGAACACGTTGCACTCAATAAAGCACAACTCTGTAACTCTGCAGCAGCCGTCCCCGTTGGGTTTTTATTCACCCTTGTGACGCAGTGCAGGGGAAAGAGGTGGGCGTTACCCCCCCTGCCCGGGCCTGAATCGCAGACCCAGGAGGCAGAGCAGCCATCCGTCCCAAATGAGCCGGGAGCTCTGGCCCGCCGCGGAAGCAGCCCACAAGGCCTTACTCCAGCCATGTGCCTGGGGGGGCAGGAAGGGAACTACCTCCCTGTCGGACCAGGACAGGGCCTCCCCGGCTTGTGTCACACGGCAGCTCCCGGCCTGCAGCCCCATGGAGGTAGACCTGGTTCAAAGTCGCGTCTGAGCTCCTCAGCCCTCCCAGCCAGAGCCCCGGTGCCGCAGCATAACCCACACCCCTGCAGGGACAGTTCGGGGGTTTGAGCCAGCTCTACCATCTCCCCCACCAGCCTGTGCGGGGGACGCAGGCTCCTCCCCAGACGGAGAGGAAGGGGGCCGGGCCAGATCTCTGCTGAGGACACTTGCTGCAACACCCCTCGGGGGTCCAGCTGCCTGGGGCAGCTTTCTCTGAGGCGAAGGGTGTTTTGAGGGTCCCCCTCCCCCAGAGTACAGCGCGATCGGGGCCCTGGGGAACAGACTCTCACAACCCAAACGAGCAGCACCCAACACCAATCCCTGGGAGCAGATTGGCTCCCGTGCTCCGAGCAGGAGGGAAGTCTCTGTCGCCTGGACGCCACGCTCCAGGGCTAGGCCTTGGTGTGGGCCGTGCCCTCCAGCCCCTGCGGGCTCCTCCTGTACCGGGTTCGCTCGTACTCCCCCACGTTGGACCCTTTCATCTTCTGGCGCGCCTTGAGCTGCTTCAGGCGGTTCCTGTCCACTTGGCGCTTGGTCAGGAGGAAGAGCAGGATGGAGGAGGGGAAGCCTCCTGTACCGGGTTCGCTCGTACTCCCCCACGTTGGACCCTTTCATCTTCTGGCGCGCCTTGAGCTGCTTCAGGCGGTTCCTGTCCACTTGGCGCTTGGTCAGGAGGAAGAGCAGGATGCCGGAGGGGAAGGCGATGGGCCCGCGGGGA